CCCCGTCTCCGCCCCCTTGCTCACACAGTCAGCTGGTCGCCAGCCAAGGGCGCTCATGGGCGTCGAGATTCCACTAAACGTGCAAAGGACGTCTCGCCGGGGTGGGTCACGTGCACATGACAGAGAGGCCCGGGGCCAGGGCTGTTACGTGGCATGGGGGGGGGGTATAATGTGACACAGTCCTCTTACGAGGCACCCAGCGCACACGCATCACACATGATGGGACTGGAGGGTTGAACCCATGCCACTCCCTCCGCAGGACCTCATCCGGATCGACGGATTACTCCCCCTCCACCCAGCTTCCCATTCTATTGCTGCCGGAGAAAGCCATGCGAATTCAAATCCGAGTGGTGGTGGAGGGAGAAGGGGAGCCAAAGGAAAGGAATTGTACTACTGTAGTCCCGTCCGTAGGGATGGCAAATCGGGCAAGTCGCTACATAATCCCTTCAGGATAACGTAAGGCTAAGGGCCAAGGGGCAGGGCAGAGCAAATGGAGGATTGGGGGAGCCCGGGTGCAAGGATCTAAAGCTGCAGTCCAAACTACAGTTTCTAGTAATATGGAGTTAAGCTACAGTTTAACTACAGTTTACGACTGTAGTACCAAGTGTAGATCCTTCGATCTGGGAGGGGAGGGGGGGGGGTGGCAGATGCGTCATCCTCCATGAACGACCACGGAAGAGAAATCGGATTCCTATATAGGACGGTGGATGAGAGGGGGGAGGGGGTGCAAGGCGCGCGGATTACATAACCTTGTGCTTAATATTTAGCGCAAGGTTATGTAATCCGCGCATTGCACCCCCTCCCCCTTTCACCCACCGTATTTCACTCCACTCCGAGCGAAGGTTGAGGGTGGGTGGACCGGAAGGTGTCCGCGCCGGGGAGCGACGTATCGTGTGACTCCAATCATGCCGTGCTCCATATCACTTTCAGCCCCAACTCCCTCTCATCTAGTACCCGGCTCCATTTCACCGACCCCCCCCCCCCCACTCTCTCTCCACAACCCCGCACCTCCTCGTAACTCGGCGATAGGAAGTCTCGAAGCTGCAAGCGCGGTATGCTGGATGCCCCTCCTCCCCCTCCTTCCCTTCCTTATCCCTGGGGGGGATTCGCCTGCTCGTACGTGACCACCATCCTGAAGGGGGAGGCCGCGGCAGGATAGGTGGGGTGAGGGAGTTGAGTTAGACGGGGATAAATGTGGGCTCACGGTGGCGGGCGCAGTCCGTGCGGGGGCCATAGGGGCGCGCGCGCGGCGTACACGGGGCATTTAGTGTCCCAAGGCCGGGGACGTGCCGCTGCCACGGCCTGGCCAGCCCGAGGGGGAAGTCCGAGCCGAGTCAGTGTTAGGCGTGTCTCTTCTCTCTAACCACGGTTCTCAAGAGAGGTCATTTCCGGTTACGCTTTTCTTTCGCTCTTGTCTCATTAATAGCCGTCGGCGCCATAGGACGCCACCGCGGTGGCCATGGACGGGACCAGGTCGATCCTGGCCGCCCCAGCTCGTAGAGCCGCCGCTGGGCCCAGGGCCCAGGGCCTAGACCAGCGGCGGGACGAGCGGTGAGAGCTAAATCAAATCTGCGGTGAGCGAGGGTGGCGGGGGGCGGGCAGGTGAGGGGGGGAGGAGGGAAGGAAAGCCCGGAGAGGACGGAGCGTGGTTATTTTGGAGCGTCCGCCTGGTTGGTCGGCGCCCCGCCCCTGCTCACCGTGCCCCCTGCGTCGCACTGATGTGAGTGCGCCCTGGCGTAAAGGGTGGAGCAGAAACACGGGCTCTCCCTCTCTCTCTCTCTCCCACCCCTTTCTCTCTCGCTCTATCCCAACGCTCTCTCCCCGCTCTCCGTCGTCCTCGCACTCTCCCCGCACGCGCGTGCTGGGGGCGCGACAGGTCAGCAGTCTGGCACTCACGCCTTCGCTCGCAACACCCGATACATTATACCACGGCGGGTGGCACAGCGAGCCCCGCCAGCCTGGCTCTCACAGGGAGTGGAGGGCCTCCTCGGGGAGGTACGGTCAACACGCCATTTTCGGAGTGGAGCAACACCTCTTTCGTCCAAGGCAACACTAGGGCCGCAAACCCACCAGACGCGTGTGTATGCTGTAGCAACTGGTCCAGGGGAGCTCGCTCTACTACCGCGGGTGGGAACCCTCCCTGGGGGAGAAGAGGAGGAGAAGGGGAAAGGGGAGCCATCGACAGCGGGGTGCGTTCCGCTGGGGGAAAGGAATTGTGCGACCAGCCAGCGCCAGAGCAGCCAGCCCCGCCCAGCCACCCCTTCTGGAGGGCCCCGTCTCAAATGGATCCACCTTCTCCCTCTCCCACTGTAGGACTCTATACGGGCGCGTCGATGCTGGGGAGGGCTTGCTTGGGACTTCCGCCGACAGTCCGCCAGGGCGGGCGGAGCGGCGCTATAGCATCCGCAGTGAATGAAGAGCGACAACGCCAGCCCTAACCAACGCCCATTCTCTGTGCTGGGCTGGCGCGGAGCTGGTCGATGTAACTGTACCGATGAATGCGAAAAGATACTGAGGCTTTGCTTGCTCCCCGCGTCGCTCCACCGCTTGCGGACGCCGCCCAACCGCCCCGCCCTTTTTGGATGGCTTGTCTTATTCCTTGCGACGTGACCACTATGTTGCCACGCTCCCATGTTCATTCATAGGCACCGATGATGAGCCTCAAGGAACGTGTCACCAAATACATTTTGGCCTTTCTCGGTGGGGATCGGATCGGGCAGTCATGCTTATCTTCTTTGGGTTTCAATCGTGTCGTAGTGGAATACCCTATCAAGGGAGCTCGGCGCCTGCGAGGCTCAGGATAGGCCACCCCACGCTACACGCGTGCAATGCTGGCAATGTTTTGCCTACCCAAAAGGCGGTATGATAGCTTTCTCCATGTGCCCCCCCCAATCATTCACAGACGCCCCCACTAGTATAGAGGGCATTCATTTCCATCACAGTTATTGACAATTGACAATTGTAGGGTAGATTATATTCCAGACACTCTCGCGGTCCACAAGGATCCGGGACTGCCAGGGTGGTTTCGTCGCATGAAAGCGACCACATTTTCGGCTAGTCATGCCTAAATGAATGTTTGAGCCTCCTTGACCAAAGCTACCCCGGTTTACGATTCTTCAAAACCACGTTCTAGTATTACATGATACATCCGGCAAAACCTGCCTTTGAGAAATGAGGAATATTTTTTAGGTGAAACGTTTGACACTCACCCTGCGTCTCGCCCTGGTGCAGCCTGGGGGCGAGCAGGGTGGGCACAAGCGCGGCGGCCACGGAGGAGGCGAGGTTGGAGTAGGGCGCCAGCATGGCCAGCTGCATGATGCCTGCAACAGGTTGGCGTGAGCCTTGGTGTGAGCGCGGGCGGTCGTGGCCGACGCGTCCTGGCCCCCGGGTCCGCGGCAGGCCAGGACTGGCCCGCAGCAGAGAGGGCTACATGCGATATGCAGGGTGGTCCATAGACCCCTTCCAATATTTTTTTCTTATACTGTACTGTCGTGCGAGCAGGTTGCATACTCACACGAGGCCACAAGGCGCCGTGGTGAGCGACGGTAGGCAAGACCACCCGCACGCCTGCATGCGGTGGTACAGTACAAGCAAAATAAAGGAGTCGAATGGACAACCCTGTACCAGGTGTAACTGTGATGCGTAGCAGTGTTGTGGGTTTGCCTACTCTTTACACCGGTTAGGGGCCATGGCCACTGCGACCATATTGAGTATGCAATCCCGCAACACTGCTGCGTACTTACAGTTACACTTGGTACAATCGTTCTCACTCTCTAAAAAAATATTTAAAATAAAAAGAAAAAAACACACACACACACACAAGGGAATTGTCGTACCCTTGGCGTGGCAGTCACTGGGGTCCCGCTGCAGCAGGACGCCCTGAGGGACCCGGTTCAGCAGCCTGCGCACGTGGCCGCTCAGCGACAGGAACGAGACGAACAGCACCATGGCCCAGCACGCGAACAGCGTCTCGCCCGCGTACTTGAAAGGCTGCAACAGGATGTGCATATTGGTGTGAATGAATGAATGAATGAATGAATGAATGAATGAATGAATGAATGAATGAATGAATGAATGAATGAATGAATGAATGAATGAATGAATGAA